ACTTCTATATCGTTATCCATTTCATTTTATGATATTTCGTATATGCTATCTTCACTTTCTAATTCATAATCTATGTATTCTATCTGCATATATTTTTCATCGTTTATTATTATTTCTGATATTTGTTTTTTCTTTGGATTTTTAGGTAATTTACAATCTTTAGCTATGTGTCCTAATTTTCCACAATTATAACAAGTACATTCTGTTAGTTTTCTCTTTGGTCTATATGGTTTTTTGGTTTTGTAGTTTTTTACATAGTATCTTCTTCTTGGTTTTTTATATTTATATTTTGATATGTATTTTTTATTATATTTCCTTTTATAGTATTTGTCTGTACAACCGAATTGGGGTGCAGTTTTATTTTTGCAACATGCTAAGTTTTTTACCAATATTTTTTCCATTTTTATTTCTTCTTTATGCTTTTCACATAGTTCTATAAACCATCGTTGTAAGAATTTTATTCTAGCTCCTAAGGTATCTATTAATCATGCTTCATTCCAACTTTTTATTACTTTTGAATTAAAAGGTTCTGGTAATTTTGTAAAATATAATTTTCTTATTTCTTTACTTTCTTCTATGCTATATGTTCCTTTTTAATAGTATTCTTTTAATGCACATGTATATTCATCTATATAACACATGTTACATATTGCTAATTTTGTCATTAGATTCCGGTTTATGATTTTTTCGTTATTTTGTTCTTCTACTTCTGTTGTCATACTACTAAATTCATTTCTTATATCTACTTCGTACTTATATAATATTTCTATAGTTGTAGTAGCTAATTCACCATTAGATTTTTTTATTACTTCATAGAGTTTTTAAACTTTCTTCTGATAAATTTTGTAGCCATAATTTTACTGTTCCTATATGTGTTCTTTCTATATATCCTGGTGTTTCTGTCATTCCTATTTTGTTATCTATTAATTGTTTTGATATATATCTCATCCATAATTGAATTGTTTTATTTATATCTGCTACACAGTCTAAATCTAAAAAATCATGTTGTTCAGTTATTGGTTTAGGTGTCCATTTTTTATTTAATCTTTTATCCCATATAGTTTTTTCTTTATCATATTGTCCATAGTTTTATTATAATATTTTAAGTTTTTTGGGTTTTTTATTCCTGATGTACTAGGTTTTTCATCCATGTCTACGTCTCCTGTATTTACTTCTAAATTCTTTGTATTATCTATGTTTGTTAAAAGTTCCGTATATGTTTCTCTTGTTTCCGAATGTTGTTCATCTAGATCATTGTCATTTATTTCATCAATTCTTATTTCAAGTAGATTATCTTGGTTATTTTCTTCTTTTTCTTCTAATTCATCTTCTAATTGCAATTTTTCTTTAAAATTATTTATCTCACTTGCTAATTTTGTTTTTTGTTCTTTTTCTTTTTGTTTAATTTCATACATTTCTTTTAATATTGCCAGTTCTTTTTCTAGTTCTATTATTTTAGTATTTTTTACTTCTTCTAATTGTTGTACTTCCTTTTTTGCTTGTTGTTTTATTTTTTCAATTTCCGTTTTTCTATCTATTTCTTTATTTTCTTTTGTTATTCTTATCGTAGCAGTTAAACTATCTTCTAGTTTTACCGTTTCTTTTTCTAACATTAAACTTAGATTGTCACCTATTTTCTTATATCTTCTTCCTAGATTAGAAAATATTATCTTTATTTTTAATCCGACATAGTTTTCATATGTTTTTTCGTCTATGGTATATTCTTCCTTATTCATTTATAGATTGTGTTGAAGTTTATATTCTAAACTTTCTATCTGTATCTATAGATATAAAATAGATTTTCTCTGTGCTATTATAGATTTTTTACAAATTCCTGCAAATATATTACTGTTAAGTTTATTTTGCCTATGTCTTAATTCTTGTCTTTTTGCTATAATTGTTTCAGTACGTTTTTGTCTATATTCGTTATTCTCGTTATTCATTGTATATTTAGATATTGAATATATTTATATTCTATTTTAGATATATTATCTATTAATTGATTTAATTTATCGTTATCATTTTTTATGATATTGAGTTGTTTATATTCCGGATATAATTTGTTTAATTTTCTTCTTATTATTCTTAACTTTCTACTAGTATGTTTCTTCTTATATTTATTTTCATCCATAGCTTTGCTAAAGGGTCAAATCACTCCTGAACACCTTGGGATTCGTATAAATCATCTATTGCAGTCAAAAATCACCTTTCGGATCTAATGAAATTGTCATAATTTGAATTTGAGTTCATTAACCTAGATTGTTGTCTTTGATCAAATATCTCAACTTCCAAAATAAAAAATTCTTCATCTTGACACATTCGATCATCTTGAAAAGCATGTCATCCATTTTCGCAAGTTAAAAATAGCATAAGAAGCTACAAAAAAAATCAAATTTGGAATAAAAGAACTCAAAAGAACAAAACAATAACATACAGATCATTACAATTACTATCTTAAGGGACAAAAATTAAAAACCAACACAAAATAATAGCAAAAGTAGAATGAGTAAATATCTCAAAATGTCATCCAACTTTGAGGAATTATCTTATAAAGTCATTTAATTTTGTTTTGTATCAATAAAATCACTCAACTTTAAGGTTTTGTTTTTAATAAAATCACTCAATCAAATTTATTATAAAAATAATAATTTAACATGATAAAACTTTTCTCTTTGAGTTTGAGTTTGAGTTTTCCTCTTTTCTTTCTTCCATAAAATAAAAAATTTTCACAAATATCTTTCTTTTTTTCGTTTTTGGTAAATAGAGAGATACTTTTTACATACTAAAGAGTTACTATATTCGCTTACATAATATTAATGATTTCGAACTTATTACAAGTCAAAGAGGAGAGTATGTTTATACGTTATACTATGAAAGAAAAACTCAACGTTGAGTGATTCTTTTTACAAAATAAAATTAAATAACTTTACAAGATAATTCCTCAAAGTCAGATGACCTTTCGAGATATTTACTCCTGTAGAATTGACTACTATATATATATATATATATAATGTTAAGTAAATTGAAGGAGAAAAATATATATAAATACAATAGTTTTTTGAAAAAATGTAACTAATTTATTTTTTAAAAGGATAAAAATGTCTAACAATTTTCTATGAATATTTTTTTCTTTGAATTTTTGACTTAACACCTTTTCACTTTTAGAATTTAGTATAATATAATAATAATATTATATAAATACTATTTAATATTTAATTGATTAGCTATTTTATAATATTTTTATTTAGTGTAGGGGTAAAATGGTATTTCAACTTTTAACATTTTTTGTTTCCACTTTTAGCAATATATGATGATATGAAGAATATGAATATGAATATGATTATGAATAAATGATGGGCAAATATTGCATATATCTTCAATTGTTCACAAAGATTTGGTGGATGGATAGATTTTATTTGTGTTATTCAATTGTTCATAAGTTGTATGGACGAGCTAAACTTATTCTTTATTATACCTATGTTGTTATTTTATTTACATGATTTGCTGGAGTGCTGCCTCCCATTGGAATAGTCCCATCAACATTCAATTTCAAATACAGAGAGGTTGCATGATACCACTTACACTTTGTTTGGATGGTTGTTACGTATTGTTTCATAATGTATCGTGTTTTATTTTATGGAAACCAACATGAGTAAAATGTTGATAGTGTCATTAAATATTCGAAAAAAGAACAAATTTATTCCTGAACTATCACAAATGATAAGTCAATATCGAATAGGTTTTGAAATTTTAACGTTTGTCCTTACAAGTTACAACCATTAAAGTTGATTGTGAAGTTTTACTTACTTCGGAAAAGGTCAAGGGGCCTAATTTGATGACCATATTGGATATGAAACTACAAGATCCATCAAAATTTAGCTACATAATGAAGAATGAAACAATTCAAAAAATATAAATATTAAGGCCACATATATATATATATATATATATATATATATTTCTGAAAAAGGATATCATATATCTAAATGTTTTATTTATTTCACATATATATGGATCATTGTTTACAAGTCACAAATATGAAAATACAGATACATGCAAAAAAAAAAAAAAAACTTACTCTATTATACAATAGACGCTATTGCCTTATTATTCATCACTTTAAATACGCTATTAATTACCTTAAATAAAATTGAAAGTTCTTTATGTCTATGTCTTTATTTAGAGAGACCAAATGGAGTAGCAATTAAATAAAGATCATTCTTTCTCCTGGCTGTTAATCCTTCTGTTTCAATCATGTCCAAATCATTTGGATTAACTCCATGAGGGACCTTCCAATCAAAGTGATAAAGTAATTGGGATAAAGGATGTGCAACATTAACTAAACCAAATAACATTCCGGGACACATTCTTCTTCCTGCACCAAACGGAATAAATTCAAAGTGATTTTCTCTGAAGTCAATACTACTATTCTCAAATCTCTCAGGTATAAAGCTTTCTGAATTATGCCAGTATTTGGGATCTCTACCAATCGACCATGCATTAACCAGAACTTTGGTTTTCACAGGTATTGTGTATCCATCAATCTTTGTTTCCTCTCTACATTCCCTTGGGATTAATAGAGGAGCCGGAGGGTGTAGCCTTAATGTTTCTTTGATAACGAATTGCAAGTAGTTCAACTCTTCCAAATCAGTAGCGTTAAATGTTTTTTTCCCATCCAATCGCTCTCTCACTTCGAGTTGTGCTTTCTCCATGACACGTGGATTTTTCATTAGTTCTAAAAATGCCCAAATTATTGTGGTGGAAGTTGTTTCAGTTCCTGCTAGAAACATGTCCTACATGTAAAATTAAAGGTATAACTATCGAAGTTTAAAAGATTTATAACACGAAATAAAATTACTTTTAAAGATACGCTATACTTACAAGTATGACTGCTTTAATGTTTTGATTTGTAATGGGAAGTCCAAATTCTTCGCTCTCCATTACTCTAAGTAAAGCATCAACAAAATCTTCACTTCCAGACTCACCATTAAATATCTTACCTTTTGCTCGATTATCTCGATGATCATTAATGATTTTCTCCAAAATTTCATCAACCTTTGAGTGTGCCTTTGACAATTTGGATTTCATTCCACTGATATTATGAAGAAACTTTTGGGAAGGGAATAAATCAGTTAAGTCGAATCCTCCAATTAATGAACAAATATCTTTTACCAACATTATAAACTTATTTCGATCATGTATGATTTTTCCAGATACTGACCTACAAGTTACAGTATTTGTAAACCAAAAAATATTGTTGGATAAGTTGATCAATGAGTCAGGTGTACTAGAACGGAGAGATGAAATGAGATTTGATATCTCTTCTTGTCGAATTGAAGCAAATGATTTGACCATTTTTGTACTAAGAAGTTCTAGAACACAAACCTTTCGCATATTTCTCCAGTAATCTCCATATGAACTAAAGGCTATGTCCGTGCAATCATAAAACATGATACTCGCGGACAAAATTTGTGGCCTATCTACAAAATGGAGGTCTTGAGTTTTCATGATTTCCTTTGCCATTTCTGATGAAGATACAACAATTGTTGAAATATTTCCAAAACGTAAGTGCATGATTGGGCCATATTTTTTTGATAGATTTCTAAGTGAACGATGTGGTAGATCGCTCATTAATTGATGCAAGTTTCCTATAAAAGGTAGTTTCCATGGTCCAGGAGGCAATGTTTTGTTTGGAGATTTTGATTTCTTCCATTTTTGAGATACAAGGAAGAAAGAGGAGAGGAAGAGAACAAGTGAGATAAAGATGAAGTAGGGTAAATGTTGATACTCCATTTCGGAAGGAAAAGAAAACATGTTAATGTTATATTCTATCTTTGTACATCTAATATATATATATATATATATATATATATAATCAAAATGAAATGATATCTTTCTTGTTTTCATACTCCCTCCCTCCGTTCCTATTTATATACCGTCCACAAGACGTGTTCAATTCGAATTGAAAATTTGTTACAACAAATTTTAAAATGACAGAAAATAAATTGCAATCACAATAAAATAAGAAGAAACATTACTTTATTGATAAAAATTACGGGTACAATAATGTTTATCCCTTGATTCTACTCTCCTATAATTTATTCATGATTTGAGGGCCGTTAGTGGCGTATTTCTCAAATGAAGAGTATTTAGGTTTGACCTCTATATGAATATTCCATGAATTTTGTGGAATATACCGAGATGCCTTTTAAGGGAATTTAGTTACCCATTATATAGGCATGAACTAGGATGTAAGGTTGAGTAGCCTCCAATATTTCTAAGTGAAACTGAACATACCTTCTAGAGTCCCAATTCGAATTGAACGAGTCTTGTAGAGTCCCACAAAATCTCAATGTCTACAAATGTTCCCTACTTATAGGCTTGTCGGAGTGTAGACTCGATGAAACTCAAAGACGATGCTTGAAGTACTCATTCTTCCACCTTTGCAGCTTCAGATTTTCAGATTTCATTTATGAGAGAAGAGATGAAGGGCAGATTTGGTCCCACTGGGCGTGCCAATTTGTTTGCAACAAATTTTAAAGCGACGGAAAATAAATTACAATCACAAAAAAAATATGAAGAAACATAATTTTATTCATCAAGATTGTGGGTACAATTCTGTTAACCCTTTGATTCTACTCTCCTAAGATTTATTCATGATTCGAGGGCTGTTAGTGGCGTATTTCTCGAACTAGAATGATTTAGATTTGACCTCTATATGAATATTTAATGACTTTTTGTGGAATATTCGAGATCTTGATCATATCTTATTTCCTCACCAATAACCTCTAAACATGTGGGTCCATTCTCTTTATATCATTTCAATCTTATTATCTATTATATAAATTTAAAATGCTTAACTGTTATCAATTTCATTCATATTTTGTGCACCCCATTTGTTATTCAATCTTCACTATATTTTTTTACAAATTATACTATGCACTTGATCATATCTTATTTCCTCACCGATAACCTCTAAACATGTGGGTCCATCCTCTTTATATCATTTCAATCTTATTATCTATTATATAAATTTAAGGGATAATGGTCTGAAAAATACCCCAACTTTGGTCGGATTTGTTGTTGCGATACTAAATTTTCATGATGACCTATTACCTCCCTAGACTATTTAATACTGTATTTTAAACATATATATTTTCCCACGTGGACATAAAAAATAATGCAAAATTATTACCTCCCTAGACTATTTAATACTGTATTTTAAACATATATATTTGCTCACGTGGACATAAAAAATACTGCAAAATTATAAATAGTAATGTGTCCACGTGGGCACATATATACCTTTAAAATACACTATTAAATAGTTCAGTGGGTAAAAAATACGGTATTAAATAGTCTAGGGAGGTAATAGGTCCTTATGAAAGTTTAGTATCGCAACAACAAATCTGGCCAAAGTTGGGGTATTTTTCAAACACTTATCCCTAAATTTAAAATGCTTAATTGTTATCAATTTCATTTATATTTTGTGCACCCCATTTGTTATTCAATCTTCACTATATTTTTTACTTGCTTTATATTCAACCCTCACAATTTGAAATTAAGTTAGTTATTTCAATAAAATTTTCAAAATGTTTTTAACTATATAAATCATCTTTTTGGTAATTTTAGAATTTATTCAATATTATTATTTTTAAATAGTAAAATATGATTTTATCATTCTTAAGTACTTGTCATAGTTTTCTCTTTTAAAGTTAAATGATGCAAAATTTGACAAATTACCAATTAATTCTCAATACTATTATTCTCTTGTCTCAAACAAGAAGGGGGAATAATTTAATTTTAAGCAGATTGTCTCTTTTTTCTAATATTAATAAATTTTATGAACATACTATATTGACAAATTTAAATTTCAAAATTATTTTTTTAATCTAACTATATTCATAAAAAAAAGTTTATTACAAAACTTATCAATTGAATCTAGATAGAAAACTTACCAATATAACTTATGATTTGGAACTATATGTAATATCTTTTTCACTAGAGACATAAATGACAATTATACTTTTAAGTATGAATCATCTCACCATGATTAAATAAAACAAATATTTATCATGCTAACAAAGTAAAAATATTATTTCAAAAAAAATTATTCTCATCTTTAAGAAAGACAAAAAAAATATATCTTCACATGAATTTTTGTTATTTTGTTATAAACAAAAAAAATTGAATGGAACTGTGGTTGTGCGAATTAGATATAGTAATTTAATATTATTTAATAAAATGAATTTATAACTTGGCTTTATATATTAATAGCTCATTAAACTTGTCAGTAAATTTCATTTCAAACAAAGGACCAAAATGGACACCTTTTGTTATACATTAAGGATCATTTCAATCAAGTGTAATACATTAAAGACTAAAATGAACACCTTTCTTATACATTAAGGACCATTTCAATCGAGTGAAATACATTAAGAAATAAAATGAACACATTTCTTATATATTAAGGACCGTTTCAATCTAGTGAAATACATAAAAGACCAAAATACAACATTGCCCATACATTAAGAACCATTCTGGTCATTTCTCAAATTTAAAGTACCAAAACTGCTGATCAAAGTGACACTTAACTCTTAAGTGACTATTTTAAACTTATCATCCAAGATAATGAACCATTTTTGTCATATTCTCTAATCGTGTTTTACTATTTGCAAAATTTAAAATTCGTGGTGTAAAATAAGTTGAAGATATTTTTTTAGTCTTTTAATTTCCAGTCAAAATTTTCAAAATATTTTCTCTACAACTTTCTTTTTCTTAAAAATAAGGAAATAAATGTCTTCCTTAGAAATAGGTTTCTTTACTATGAGAAAATAAGGAATTAGCGATGGACAGAATTTTGTAGCTAAACAACAAATTAAATTTCAATCCCATTTAGCTACGGATTAGCGATGAATTGTTAGAAAATTCAATTAGTGATGAATTGTTAGAAAATTCAACTAAAAATAGATGATCCTTAATATTTGTCATTTCACAAAATCAATGTATAATGACATTATTCTTTCTATTTTACCCTTGCGAGTTATTAGCCTTGAAAATATACATTTGACCAACATAGAAAAATTAAGTAAATAGTTCATGTTCATTGGTCAAATTAATTAATCAAAATAAATTAATTCATGTTGAAAACTTGACTTAATAAAACATTAATTAAAGGTAAAATAGTAAACTTACTTAGTTTCTTAATGCACGTGAAATCTAAAATGGTGACATATAAATTAAAACGGAGAAAGTATAAAATTAAATAGAAACTTGAGGAGTTAGTAGGTAAATGATTGAAGATTGATTAATCATAAAATTATATATATAATGAAATTAGCTCCAATAATGCAAATTATAAATGTTTTGAAAATTAGTTAGAGATAACATTTTGATGTAACCATGCAATACGATGGGACCATTAGTTTAGGGTGTATTTATTTATTTTTAAAAATAGGGAGGATGCTCCACCCATTATTATCTCTATTATAAATGAGATTTCGAAAAGATATAGATAGAATCGACCTATCATGTATATTATAATAGCAAATATTCCACTAGCTTTGATAACATAATTAATGTCACAAATGGATTTTGACACAAGTAATCGAATAATTGAAGAAATGAGGCTTTAAGCAGCTTGAAGCTATCTTTTAACCCTAAATGAGTTATGTTAGATTCTAATTAATGAAATCTAATGTAAATAATAATTGAATTGTGATAGATTGAACTAGTGGCGGAGGCAGAAATTCTATCAAGGGGGTTAAAAAAATAATTAAACACGCTAATAATATCCATAAAAAACGGGTCGGATCATATATGAACGGATTGAATAACAAACGGGTTGACAAAGAGGGGTTTTTGTTATCGCGACTGCAGCAGCGAGCAGCAAAGGTGAAGTTGAACGAGAAGACTAGGAGGAAAAAATATTATATTGCAATCCCTAGAAAAAGAGAGTTTTTTTTATTTCTTGACTTTTCAATTAGAGATTTAAAATATAATTTTTTTGAGTAGTTATGATATGAAACGTCGTCGTTTGGTCTATCTATATTTAATAAATTAAAAAAACACTTTAAACTGAAGCCTGA